ACGCCGTGCCTGCCGGCAGACATCGCGAATTCGGATCGATGCAATGACGGGCAACCCACGACAAGCCCGGGAAAAAGCATCGAGTTCCCACTCTGTTGGCTTCCACGAAGAGTTCTCTCGAAGGCCATCCTCCACCATGCGGCGGACAGTATAGAAATCTTCATTGTGCTCCATCTTGTCCACGTCTTCACATGGTATGGTGAGCTCCTTAGTTCGAGGTTTAGACCAAGCCAATATGACTCCTTGCTCAGGACGACTACTAACTAGCATAGCAAATGCCGGTGGAAGCTTTTGAAGGGCAAGTACCAGACCCATCAGGGACTCCAATGTCTCCTGGTTGCCGCACTCATCGAGACCATCCAAAACGATGACGAAGCGGTCCTTACCAGAGGGGAATCTGTCCTTCAGGCCACGCATCGGCTCAATCATCAGAGTGTTCAGTTGTTTTTCCAAAGGAAAACCCCGAACGGAAACCAAAGCCGGTTGCCGAAGGAGCTTGACAAGCGAGAACTTGAAGTCCTCATTAAAGCATGCCAGTTGGTGTGCAAGGGTAGAGGGGAATTGTTTGATGGAATCCAAGCCCGATCCTGGCTGATTCTTATCCCAAAAGAACGACGCTGCTAGACTACCCTTTGTCTCGATAGTGGAAGCGACACTCTTACAGATCGCAGTCTTCCCCGTCCCAGGAGAACCCCGCAGCCATACGAAACGGTTCTTGGCTTCACTCAGGTGCTCGAGGAGGGATTGTTGTATCTTGGCCCGCGTGCCCGGAAGGCACTCTGATTTGCTCGTCACACAAGTGTGCTCGGCCAGAGCTGGATTGAGTCTCGAAAGCACAGCTGGAAGTATTGGTGAGTAGTCAGTCCATAAGCATGTACAGGCACGAACATTCAATTGACGATTGCTCGGCACGAAGCAGAGTTAAAATTGATATTCTTAGCTATGGCGGAGGTGGTTAGTCAGGATGCAATTATCCAAACAATCCCGAAGCGTGCGGACCTGGAATCGACGAGTAGCATCATTTAGGTAGCTCTTCATTTTCGTTATTTGCTGTGTTATATCGGGAGCTCGGATAATCTTCTCAATGACGAGTTTTTTCTGGACTGATTCAATATCCTCTAATTGCGTTTCCAAAGCCCTACGAAGAGAATGAGTGAATGTGAACGAGAGGAAAACGAGATGCGTACCCATGGAATTCTTGCACTAAGGCCTCAAGCTCAGGGGTGATTTCTTCCTTAGTCCACTTCTCAAGGGGCTCAAGCACCGATTGTTGCACCTGCTGAATTACATCACACAACTGGACGAGTTCCTCGGTGTTACCGCTGACATTCTACATGTATGCACCAAGGATGAGAGGCAGCCACACTCAAGATCAACAAGGCGATTTCCAAACCTCATAAATTTGAATCCACGACAGAAGGATGCTTGGGATCTGATCAAGATTGGGGATGGGGACGAGCTTGAGAGCAGCGGCCGCGGTTTGGAGCAAAACTTTAGTGCCGCCGATGATCATATTCTTCCGATTGCTGTCGGATCCACGAGGTGCTGATTCAGCTGTCGCCGATGAAGCAGTCGGAACTGACAGGCCGATATCTGCAGGTTGTTGCTGCGTGCGGACGCTCGCGTCGTTGTCACCAACGAGTGCAGTCGGAATCACTTCGGTGGGGAGGGGAGAGAGCAGTGACCGTGGATCGTTCTGGACGGGTGCAGTCATGGGATGATTGGGCTGGGGTGTACTTGATTGGGAGGGGCGATTGGGATCGGGGCCGGGGCTTCTCCGGAATATCCTGTCTCGAAGGCGCATCCGTTGCTTCGTGGCATTACCCATTGAAGTATCACCAGCAGAAAGGGCACCAGGATGTGATCTTATAGACCGATCATGATCCCCCTGAATCGTCGTTCGGTCGTTTTCAGTCGCAGAGACAGCGATCTGGGTGTTGGAAACATTCGGGGTTGGTGCCTGCGGCTGGTCATTAGGAGTCTCAGGAGCGTGCGGTGGCTTCGTCTGAGAGGAAATGCGGTGGAACGCACGGTCTTTGGGCATGGTGCACTGGATGCAGCTAGCGATCACAAATGGATGTGTTGAAGGAAGCCTTCAGTACTGGCAGGTCATTCATTTCACATGATATATGTATAGACCTGGGGCTGTTCGCCCTTATGTTGACAAGCTGTAGAGGTGTTCGGCCAACTCCGATGCCGCTGATTGCCAGGAAGGCTCTTAAATGCTAGCATCTTTAAAGCCACTGTGTCGCTCCGGAGACAATGGAGCACTATTTTGTCTGCTGACGCTTCCGCCGTGGACGCCTAGACCTGTGCAGTAAGACTCGATCGACCGTCAAGTCCTTTGACAAAGTTATTCATCTCACCTCTCGCAAGATAGTCACAATGCTTCTCTCCATTCCACATGATCTGTTCCTGCGTTTACATCCTATTCCCTTTCCCCCTCGCTTTATTTAACTTCTATTTCCATTACTTTATGGTGATCTTATTTCACACTCACCCTAATACCAGTGTCTACCGCCATCTCAACCAATCTTCCAGGTCCAATCCTTACAGTGCTTGTCAATATATATGCGTAAGTAACTCCAGCCGTGCTCACTCTTAGAACTAAGAAATTCCATTCCATATCATTAGGCTAATTCATCAAGCGCGAATGCAAACAGAAAATCTGTTCATTCTGCGTTCAACTTCATATCCATGTCTCCATGTAGCACGCCTACTCAGGCATGGGACTCGTGTTCACAACGCATGGAGATCGAAAGTAGCCTGACATCCAAGCGGTGTCACAGTACATAGTCCGGAAATTGCGAGGTGCGTCTCGGGACCACTCGACATCAAGTGGGCGTGTTGAAGGAACATCTCCTTCACTTCTATTGGCATACTGAATGTCGAAGGATCGCACGGTGATTGAACCGCGGTTCGTTACAACGCGACACTGGTGGGCCTATAAACTAGCTTCTGTCCAAGAAGCTCGGCCAACGATCCATCCTTTTCCCTGTCTCTCTTTTTCTTCGCCTCCGCTCGCGCCTCTCCCCCTGGAGTCCTAGTCCACTCGTTATGTTGTCCTCGACTCCCTGTTCTCTAAATGCCCTTTCCCTGCCCTCTCACCCCTCACGATCCTTGTTAAGCTAAATGCCCTACATTGGGCGATTGTAAGCGAACGCAGACACAAACGATGGTGACTTTGATATATGCTACAATAGTTCATTGTGACAAGGACTCCGTCGATGTTTCCTCGCCATCGTTACTGGCCTTCCCAAGGGAGTAAAACTAGTTCGCGGGTACATATTTCTTTAGATCACCGTTTCGCACCGAAGTGCTCGTGTTGGATACTTCGGCAAACCCGCACAAACCTGGGTGACCAATGGCCCTCGATACCTTACTGGTGTATTGCAGTGCGCTTCGCATAGCCCTCCGTATCCAATGGCTATAGGGTCGTCCGGGGCCCTTGTGTTTATCTCGTATATCCTTTGTTCGCCAACTTTGCGTGGAACCGTGCTAGTGTTCCTGGTAACCAACCACTTTCATACTAGCATTCTTTCGCGTCTATCATTGCCTCTGAGGAAAGCGGCCCAAGTGACCAGACTAAATTGCTTTCTCTCCAGACCGAAGGTTTCAACTCCTGAAGGCAACCACCAAGAGAGCTCAAGTTGACATAACGTCGGGCGTTCTCCGAGGCATGTTGCAGGCAGTGTACATAAACCCGCCTAGGAGCCAAAAACAGCAGTTAGATAGGTCCAGCACCAAGAGGCAAATGTGACACCCTCTGCAACCGTGGTTTCTAGAAACCGGGCATACTACCGCAAAGGCCATAGTTGTCTGGGTCGCATCAAGTATCATGCTTCTCTACATCCTTAATATATCTCTGTAGATGAAAGTTAAACCAAAGTTATCGCTGGGGCGAAAACGATACTCTATACACGCAATGGATAACATGATAATTGCCCATCTTGCTACAGAGCCGGCCCAGTCACAAGTAATGTTAGGATAAAACTGCTTTAATAATATAATGCAGAGTTGAGAGCATTGATGGTTCGAGTTGAATGTGTTTACAAGAGTCCAATATGGGCGGATGCAATGACAAAGACTGAGCTGAAACTTGGTATGAGTGAATCACGATGGAACAGGATGTCCAATCACCGTCCGAATGAAAGTCCACATGACATTCTTGTCCATTCGCAGCGCCTGCATCAACGATTTGGACCATGATTTTCTGAAGGTTATACTCTCTGCCAATGTATTCGAAAGACTCCAATATTAGCGTAAAACATGAACATGTATACGCATCCCGATTGCACAGATAATAAATAGCTTCCCCGCGACCGCGAAGTCGTTAAACTAGAAAGGTAAAAGCAAAGCGAACAGCTAGTACGCACGAGAAAGTGAAAAAAAAAAAAAAAAAAAAAAAAAAAAAAAAAAAAAAAGAAAAGAAAAGAGAGAGAGAAATGAAAAAGGGGCGGCAATGTCGACCAGGGGGTAAAAGCTCAGGCGGCACCAGGGCGGGCGTCGCGCCGACCCCGAGCCCAGGGCCGTCGACCATGAGCGCCCAATTGCCATCTTATAAAACGCCGAGCGCGGCCTAGGCAATTGGGTTTATGGGTAGTTCCGCAAGAACTAGGACAGTTCACGGGAACATCCACACAGCCTACGCGCCGTAGACTAGGTGTCCCACTATAGACTCGCAGAGTCAGGAGGTTCTACCTCTATCTGTCTTCCCCCCTGACGAGGGCGCAGCCCGAGCAGACAACCGAGCCCGGGACCCCCCCAAAATCAAATTAAAAACTAGAGCCCTATGAAACCTACCAATCGCCCGCCTCAGCCCTAACCTCAATACAGTGCCCATGAAACCACAAGTACCACCTCCCTAATGCTCACCCAAATGACGCCCTAACCCACCACTAGCCACCGATCATAACCGAAGCCTGGCCCGTCACCTAACGGCTACCCAGGCAGCCCCCGGCCACTATCGGCCAAGATGGCCCAGCAGGAAACGCTCTCCCTCACCCCCTTACCCAATCGCCCTGTCCCTTTATAACTACGCCGATCTGCGTCTCAACCATATGACTCCCCAACAACCCCTCCGAGAGCATATCCACGACACACCCAAACTGCACCATTAAGCTCGACCTGGTATCCCCAAAAAGCGAGTTTCGGATCTCCCGAGCGTTCTGGAGACACCCCCTCTCATACCTCTGCAGCCCCGGCTCCAGTTTCCCCGCGCCCACGATAGGAGTAGGGCCGGGAAACTCCCCCCCCCAGCCACAGTGGACGAGATCTCAAGGGTAGTTATGACAATGTACAACACACTGACGAAAACCCTGACCAACAACCTAAGTGCGGAAAAACAAAAAATAAAAATAAAAATAATTACCACCTGCCATCCCGCTGCAATAACCTGTACAACCTGTGTGAACTAACCCATACCACAACCAAATGAGCATTACCTAGGCCACTCCTAAATTGCGTAGTCAATTTGCCCGCTGATTTAAACCAGAATCGCCGCTGCCAAATCTCCACCCTGGCATGGCTACAACATCCGGGCAAGAAACCCGCTACACCCTAATATCTCGTAGAATCAACTTTCCCCCGCTAGAATCAAGGGGCACCACTATCCCCCCAGGCCTACCCGTAACACTCTGAACATTTGCCCCCAAAACGCCACTGGTAAATGACCCCCGATGACTAAACAAACCGACCCGACCCCGGCCCACCCCACACGCCGAAATTGCCCCCCACCCGGATCCGGGAAAACCCAAACCCCCCCTAACCGCCAACCGAAAATACCGACGCATTCTAGCAGCCGGGAATAAAACGGGTAACTCCGCAGGAACTGTGTCAGTTCCCTCCCCCCCCAACAAGTTCCCCGCTAAACCATGGAGGTAAATATCCCCCCTGTTCACCCCATAACCTCTGACAAGGTCCCAGTCTGAACAGCCATCCGTACCCCTCCATACAACCTTCCAATCCCTGCTGAGGGCTGAGGACGAACAAATGGCAGCAGCCATAACCAATGTGCCACAAAATTTCGCCGTCACTATAGCTGACCAGGATGAGGAGATCACCCACGACTCCGACTCCGACAATACAGACACCTCCCAACCCAGCCCCCTCTTCGGGAAGAACTACCAAGGAAGCGGTAAAAACCAAGACCCTACTCCAGCATCCGAAAATGAAACGAGGAAACACGCAAGATCACCCACCGCCGCAAGACTCCAGGGCCCTTTAAAGGCCCCCCCCCGCTTTCTCCCCCCTAAAGCGATGAGGCCCCTCCTCACCACCCCCCAAAACTTCAAACCCTCCTTTGTGCCCACCCCCGATGTCTTCGACTTTGAGTCTGGAGGCTCAGCGGCTTTCCTAAAAAATATAAACCCCACCGAATTCCCTCCATCCCGGAGCCCAGCCACGGACGGTGATGGATCCCCCATTGCCACGGACCACCCAACCTTCATGCCGGTACTTGCAGAAAAACCCGATGACGGAAGAGATGACCTCAACTGGCTACCTCTCGGCCCTGGCCTAGCCAACTTCTATGCACACGGCCTCCGCCCAGGTCGCCTCCTTGAAGGAGCAAACCCTGACCGTGCCAAAGCCTGGCTAAAAAAGGCAGGTGCCATTCTAGTCCTACCCCTAGATGCCGCCCACAGCGAAGAAAACACCAGCAACTTCCAGACCAACATGGAAGCTTTCCTCGAAAGAGCATTCCCACACCAAGTAGGAGAAGTGAGCATTATCCCCCCTGTCCCCATTGACCTCAGACGTGGCGGAACCCCCCAATACGCTAAACCGTGGGGCTTCTTAATTGATGGCCTGAACCCCCAATTCGCTGACCTCCTCATACGTGAACACTTATGGATATGCAAGACGTTTGGGTTCATCGCTATCGGCACTAGATTCAAGCCTTCCTCCTTCATGATTTCAATTGTAGGAATGGGCAACAGGTTGAAGGACGCGAACAACATTAAAGACGCTGTCAAACAAACTATCACCAAATCACCAAGCCCCTTCCGAACATTCCTAGAGGAGGCAAGCATGACAACTGACCAAATAAAGGAAATTGTAGACAGCGTCAGAGTAATCCCAAGAGGATATGCCCCCAACGGAAAGGAATATAACGAAAACACCGAGGAAAAAAGAAGGCCGACCTCGGACAAATCGGTAACCATGTGGGAGCTGCATATAGACCCTCCCTTCAAGACCCTCAAAGAGGCACGAGAAACCGCACACGACCAATGGTCCCATATTTTCAAAATGGCCTCGTTCGTAAGTGAGAGAACCCAAGCCGGACACGCCTTCAACAGACAAAGAGTCTGTAACACCTGTAAAGCCTCCGACCACTTATTCCACTGCTGCCCGATCCACTCTCACTCTGCCTGGAATCAACGGTACCCCAAACAAGATGCCGACATGGAAGCAGATACCGACGGCAATGCGATCCCCTCCAGCTCTAGTGGAGGTCCATTCCCCTCCCTCCCTCGACACCTGCCTTATTCAAACTTCCAACGTGGAAGAGGACGCGGCCGTCCCCCCACCCAATATGGCTCACGATTCCTCTCCTTCGTCCCTCCAAAATACAACTTTGACTGATATGCACCTTAAAAGGATTTCACCCCGAACCGTGGACAAATGGCAAAATAAATTAGATAACCAAAAGAGCCTCGCTCACATCACGTAGTAACTCTGCCCTGTCCTGTAAATACTTCCCTCACAATCACTACGATTCAATTGAAAACCCTAACTAACCCATAACCTCCCCTCCTCCCCACACCCTACTGAGCCCACACTTACTGAGCCCACGGGCGACAGGAAAGCCCAGTAGCTTGATCCCAAAACGCCCGAAAACACCCCAAACCCCGGCTGGCAATCGGATCGGGAAACACCAAAATGCCTGTAAAAAGATCAACCCCCCAAAGCCCAATCACACGGTGAATACCCAACTGGTAAATAGACCACAGCCCCCGGTGCCCAGAGGGCAGAGAATTTATACCGTTTTATCAAAACCCAATGATGGTCACCAGGGATCGGAAAACGGACCAAAAACCCCAGCCCCACATATACCACTCCGCCTAAGAGGCGGAAGACCCCCAACGACCCCAAACGGCCACCTCTCCATTGCGGCCCTCAACATTAGAGGAGCCAACAGTCCACAGACTAAACAAAAATGGAACCTTATCACAAATAAAATGAAGAAGGATAAGATCGCTGTGATGTGCGTATCAGAAACCCACGTCGACTCACCCCAAGAAGACCTACTAGCCAACCGGTACAACAACGAATTCCACATCATCCACTCCTTCGACCCGACCCACACCAGAGCCGCCGGCATTGCAATTATCATCAATAAAAGCATCATAAAAAAGATGCCAATGGAATCGACCAACCTTATCCCTGGACGAGCCATCCTCACCACGATCGAATGGCCACCTGGCAACGAGATCACACTATTAACAATATATGCCCCGAACACTAGAGGGGCAGGTACTGAGAACGCTGCATTCTGGCAGAAACTAGGTGAACTCACAGAAAACATCCAGGTCGACATTGCCCTGGGTGACTTCAACGTTGTTGAAGAAGCAATTGACCGTTCCCCCCAACACGAAGATGCGAATGCCGCAGTAGTGGCCCTAAAAGAACTCCTCTACCTCCACGACCTAAAAGACGGATGGCGCCAAGCCAACCCGGCACCCGCAAAAAACTACACCTTTGGACACTGTACAGGAACTCATATGTCACGAATTGACAGGATCTATGCCACAAATGAAATAATAAATAAATCACTCACCTGGAGTATCAAAAACCCAGGCATCCCGACGGCTGACCACCAGCTGATCTCAATAGACATACATGATCCCCGCGCACCACACATTGGCAAAGGCAGATGGGCAATCCCAAACTACCTAGTAAACGACCATGAATTCCTGAAAGGAGCCGAAGATCTTGGGAATGAAGCACTGGACAAAACCAACCAACTCACCGCACTAAATACCCCCGGAGTTCAAGACTGCTTCCTCCACTTCACCCAATCCATTATAGCGTTAGCACGCAAACTCGCCAAAACCAAGTCAGGCAAGCTAAACTCAACTCTTATCCGTCTGGAGAAACGCAGAAACAAAGCTGTCCGGAAACTGAGCTCCCCCGAACAGCGCGCCAGTTAGAGGAAACCCAATACCAGATCATGATGCTAACTGAAAGGATCCAGGAGGTGGAAAGAACCCGGCATAGGAATAATAAGACCACAGCCAATACAAACAAGCGCCTCTTCGCTGAATCAATAAACAAATACTGGTGCGGGTGGGGGAAAAATAAAAGGCCACGTGACACTATATCTGAACTTCGAATCCCCCACTCTGACCCTCCCCGCTACACCTCCAACTCCTCAGAAATGGCTAAGATTGCCGCAGAACACTACAACGCTGTGCAATCAAGAGACCTCAACTTAATCCCCCCTCAGAAAGAGAACCCTGCATCACCGAATGCCTCTCATCTATCACAACCACACCTGCAACACAAACTGCTCCCATGGCTTCCGGTATCAGCTACAACGAAACCCTAACCGCCCTAAGACAGTCCCCAAACGGTAAAGCCCCCGGCCTCAACGGCATCCCAACTGAACTTTACAAGAAACTCCACGAAAGATGGGCAGCAGAGGCAGATGGCCGTGTAGATATAGTTCAACTCCTCCATAATGTAATTAGTGACATCGAAATGCGAGGTGTTTCCTCCCCACAGTTCACTGCTGGCTGGCTGTGCCCTTTATATAAAAAGAAAGACAAACGAGAAATCGAAAATTACAGACCAATCACTGTACTAAATGCTGAATACAAAATCATGACAACAGCACTCATGAACAAAATAGCGCCAATCGCCCCTAACCTCATAAATAAATGCCAGGCTGCCTTCATAAAAGGCAGAAGCATCCACGATCAGATTGACCTAGTCAACCGCATGATAGACCTGTGCGAAATCATCAGTCAAGACGGTGCAATAGTTGCCCTAGACCAAGAAAAAGCGTACGACAGGATCCGTCACAACTACCTCTGGCGCACACTGGAAGCCACCGGGATCCCACCACCCACCATAAACTCCATAAAGGCCCTCTACTCCAACCCCGGTACCAGAGTGATCCTGAACAGCGAAATCAGTGATGAATTCTTAATAGACCGAGGAGTACGTCAAGGCGACCCACTGTCATGCCTCCTCTTCAACATAGCTATTGAACCCCTATCTGCCATGCTGAGAGAATCCGGTAAAATACAAGGCCTTGAAATCAAAACACCAGTACTCACACAAAAAGTCATTGTCTCCCTATTTGCCGACGACGCCGCGGTCTACCTCTCAAAAAACGACGATGTAACTAACCTATTCAACATCCTCGACACCTGGTGTACCGCCTCAGGAGCTAAATTCAACCAAGGAAAATCCATGGTTATCCCCATCGGCTCAG